GTTCGATACGATGTGTATGATTAAAATTATTCTAATTTTATTCGATTTTTATTTGGGGACTGAGGTTAACATTTTTAGCGCTTTCTAGTGGTTCGGCCAGTTGGTGGCTCTCTTGGTGTGCTGAATTGCGTGTTCATGTCTGGAGTTCTACAACAGGCAATGTTAGTGAATGTGTTTGCTTCAAAATCAGTGAAACATCTGGAAGTTGATGCAGGAGTGCATAAACTGTCCAATTCCGTTGCATTTTCTGCAGTCCTGCGTTGGCTTCCAGTTGTTTCACTTATTTTCACAAAGGTTTTATGTTATCACATAGAAATTTCCGAGGTCAAGTGAGCGAGGATGACGAAGAAGGATGCCGCGAGCAAGTTGACTTAATACCCCGTTCACATTACAGCGTATATCACGTGATATACGCTGTCTTGCAATGAGCACTCATACATCAAGTTTTCACTGGAAATCCTATGTATGAGTGCTCATTGCAAGACAGCCTATATTACGTGATATTGGCTGTAATGTGAACGGGGTATAAGGCCCAAGCGCAATGTGGGCGGAAGCGGTGAGGTCAGCAATGTTAGACTTTTGGTTTGATGACTCATGAAACATAATGAACACTGAAAACTCGGTACTTTATTATTTTAAGGAAAATTCAGTACTTGCTATTAGCACCAGTATTCAGTAGTTTATCGCAAAAGCTGCTGAACATCAGTAGTTTTATTGAAAATAGCTTAATGTTCGGTATTATTTGTGATTTACAGTTCAACAATTCAAACAGTAATTCAACATTTTTTTCATCAAATATCAGGCATAACATTTGATAACGGCACAAAAGCATTTGTAAACAAACTTTCTACGGCCCTTTACACACGAACCAAAGTACGTCCACGCAAACCAATACCACTTTCGGATAGGTGATAGTTGCCACAATCCGATGATGTTGTTGGTTTGCGTGAGCGTACTTTGGTTCGCGTGTAAAGGGCCTTAGAATATCATTTTATCTTTTTCCTTCCACCGTTCTGATCAAGCTATATTGCTATATTACTTGCCGTTATCATTTGGCTCGTTTTTCGTTTGTCATTTTGAAACATTTTGTTATTCCCTGGTCCTGAAGTTATCGAAACTACCCTGACGTTCTCGGAACTTCCTTGAAATTATTAGAGCTGCTCTGTAGCTATCGGAACGTCCTTGAAATTATTTGATCTACCTTGATGATCACGGATTTGCTTGCAGTTTCACGGAACTTACTTGAAGAATTTCCCTGAAGCTCTCTGAACTTCGATGAAGTATCGAAACTTCCCGGAGATTCGCAGAACATTCCAGAATTTTTACTAGAGTCACAAGTTCACAAAGCTTCCCTAAAGTTCTCAAAACTGACCAGAATCTCACTGAACTTTTTTGATCCAGGTAACAATTTGATGCTTAACAAGTGTTCTTTCAACGATTTTAATTTAGTCCTAATTTGAATAATTGTTGTACATAGACTACGTTAACCTATGTTCAGCTTTTAAACATCTAAATCTGGTGATTTTAATCAACCGTAAGCTTAACAGTTATGTAAATCTTAAGCTTTTTAAGGCATTAAATAATAGTCTTTTTCAACCCTGTTCAGTCTTCTAGTTTCATTTCAGAAATTTCATGGAAGACCGCTTCATGTCTTATATTTGTTATGGGAAATAAATCTAATTAGGTAAAGCATGATATTGACTAATTAGATTTAAATATTTCTATTATTATTACTCTAAAAATTACCTTGCATTTCGGGATTCAAACCGGCATTCGGTAATTTACAGGTGTCAACCATACCTGCTGGACCACTTAAGCATATGTGTGGTATCTTTATCTTGAAGCACGCCAAATATAAGTTGAATAATAGCAACCGGAAGGGTATTATACCTGGGGTGGGACGTGCTGTCAAATCAGCCTACTGATCATTCTTGTATGAAATTGGTTCCAAACGTAAACAAACCCTGTAGGTTTCTTATGGCTTGTTTACGTTTGGAACCAGTTATGCGAGGTAGGCGACGATTGTTCGTATTTGACAGCCACCTCCCCCTTGTATTATACAGCAATGCAGAATTGTAAACAACAAATAGTGACAGTAAAACCATAGAGGTAACTCTAAGACCAGATGGTCCTGAAGAAACGTGCTCAACTTGTTGGCTCATCTCTGGTACTATCTTCGGTCCCAAGCTAATCGATGCACCCTCGAAACATAGGAGAATCCACGAACCCCTCATTTTATCTGTCAAACTTTCATAGCAAATCAAAACAAACACAATGTAGTACTAGAATTTCGACTAGAATGGGGTGCGTTAATCGATTTGCTTGGGACCAATGGACTAGCCAAGTAGTGAGCCAATTTAAAATCGTTAGTTTCCACCGGTTGGTAAAACATTCCTCTAAATTTCAAATGCAGTAAACACAATGCACAATTTATTTTGATGGTCATTTGGATGCTATTTTAGTGCCATAATTGGATTATATTTTTGGAATGCGATCTTAAAATTCAGTGCAGTTAAGACCCACCCACATTAGATCCGTTTGCGTTGCGTTGACGTAAATTTGACAGTTAGACAATAGATTTAGCTGTCACTTTGCCGCAACGCGTCAGATCCGGATCTAATGTACGTGGACCTTTAGTGTATATAGTAGTGAACAGTCAAACACAGGAATACAAATGTTAATATATCCGACACCGTCGCAGTCAACATCTACCTGGAGCTATTCCTAAAAACCTGCTCTTGCTTGTCGCCGCCACTGCTGGCGCTGCTTGAGATTAGAAAGGTAGTCAGTAAATTTAAAAGAACTATAATGCCGGAAACGCTACGGCTTTGGACGACATTTAACAGTATTTAGACGACATTTAACAATATTGTACAATAGGTTCCTATTCTGTTAAGTGTTAAGCTTAAATAAGTCTTGTTCAGTCTTTTGTTCAGCTAAATTAATTAAAAAAATTTAAAAAAAAATGGAGATATAATTCGTTTTATGTACTACTTTTTTATAATGCGTTTATTTTCCCAATTCGCTTTGCGGAGCCGATATTCATTGTTCAGGTCACACAATTTCTTAAAACTAACGTTACTAAAGCGGGGGCCGATTACTCGCGGCTATCTCGAGGTTAGGGGTAACAAATTGCAACAAATGGATGGCAGCGTACCCGAGCAAAGTCTGAGATCAAATTGAAATCTAAATTTGATGTTGTGATTTCGCTGATAATGATCACTCAGGTTGCTGTCGTTTTGGTCGTTTTAACGGGTAAAATATCAAAATTGAGAGCATACAAATCTTCCTGTGACATCACATTGAAAACTATTTCTGCTATCAGTGAGAGCAAACTGAAAACTAAATTTGATATCCATTTTTCCTGGATAAAAATTCGTTGAAGGCGATTTGTCGCTCAAAAATATCGCCTTCCATAGCGTCCATCTTAGCCAACCAGTCCGCTTTCCCATTACCCGGAATTGAGCAATGAGATGGGGCCCAAACTAAGGTGATAGTATAGGAGCAGTTAGATAAAGCACTCAGTTTAGATCGTATGTCAGGCTGGAAACACGAGGAGTGCTTCATCGGTCTCATTGAACGAATAGCCTCCAATGAGCTAAGACTATCCGTAAAAATTAAATAATGGTCAGAAGGTAGTGAGGCAATTCGCTCTGCTGCGTAAAATATAGCTGCGAGTTCCGCAACGTATACGGAGCATAGTTTCTGCAGTTTATAGGAGGCATTATGAAATTGATTAAATACACCAAATCCAGTGGAAGCATTTATTGTTGAGCCATCTGTGAAAAACAGTTTTATCGTTACTTACATGGTACTTGATTGCAAAAATTGAGAAAACAACCATCGACCGATGGTATGTACCTACTACAAATCAACCATATATTCAGCCTGGTGTTAATCAGCATTGTACACTTTAAATCAACTAATAATTGATTTCTATTCTTACTGTTCAGCTTGAATTGTTAGTTGGGGAGGATCTCTAAACTGAATTTCTTGAAACTTGCCTTGAGTTCCAAGAATTTTCCTGAAGCTTTCGGAACTTTAGTTTGTGAAACTTCCCTGCGGTTATTGAAACATCCCCGATGTTTTCAGAATTTCTCTGTACTTTCGAGAATTTGATGAGTAACCAGCACCATGTTGGCCACACCCGGACATGTTCCGGGTACCCTAGGAGAACTGGATTGAATCTCTCTTGAGTCAAATCACATGATGCAAAACAACTTTAGAAACAAAGCAAACAACTGAGCATTGGCGCAAGTGGCGCTTATTACCCTGCACGTACAAATTAAATTGCTATTTTGAGAAGGTTTTTTGTTTACCAAATAATTTGTTAGGGAACAACTGTATATATCCATATCTTATATCAAGTATCAAGAAGTTTCATCCGACTAATGAATACACTGAAATAGAATGTATATTTTGACTAATAAGTAGTAAAAATCGACAATTTCCTTTGGTGGGACGTAATACTCCACCATCCCGTACCGAAAGAATATCAAAAGTTTCCGTTTTTGTTTCAAAACGGCGATAAACTGTAGATACTTATAGTAATGGACCTGCCAATGTGACCTGACGTCATTGGCGTAGCTAATGGGGGTGCCTGTCTCCCTCCATGCTTAAATCCTAAATTATAAAAAACTTCAAAAAATTCTGGAGGCGGCCTAGATCATTCTGGCCATTGGCTGACGTATCCAAACGGACTGTCAATTCGTATGGAAAATATTCGTTTTGGATACAACATGGTGGCACATTGGTATGTCTATTACTATGAGTGTCTATATGGCAAACGAGGAAAAACGTTCCACAGTCATCCGTGATGTATTTAATAGATTTTCTTATTTTCAGTTATTACCTTTTTCTGTCTTGTATTATTTGCCTTGCTTTTACTGTGCTATCAAACATTTTTCTAAAGTGCTTTATGAGTTTCCTATTTATTTGAAGCTATCCTCTGTTATTATTTTTAAACTTGCTTTGAATCACGTCATTCTTATTTTTTGCAGCACGGCGTTATCACTAAAATGTATTATATTGGTAGTGGATATGGTAGTGCTAACTGCTTGTATCAAGAACGCAATAATGTCAGTAATGGTATCAGGTTAGTTATAGTACATATCGCAAGAGATAAGTTGTAGCATAATAGCTTCCGCTTTGGTGAATGTCACTTTGAAGAAATATGCATGCCCGTTTTAAGGTCTATTCGCTCTTGGACGGCACGTCGACTATCGTCGGAATCTTTACACAAAATGTAACGTATCGTACTGTACCGTCCAGGTTCGGAGACCTTTACTGCCCATAATCACATATCTGTCCCAACTTTGCCTGATATCCTAACCATATGGACCAGTTATGTGCTTATGGACAATTTATGCATCTGAAGAATCTATGAAGTTACCAATTTTCCTCTCATAGCATGCTAACTCGTTCCGGCTCGAAAGTACTGGACAAAGCGAACATCCAGGCTGCAGCAGCGGCAGCAGCCAATCAACTCAATTCGACTGGTGGTAAAACCACGGTTGATGGCATTCCCCTTTCGACGCTGAATTCGGCAGCCGAGCAGGGCCTGCCGGAGGATAGTGATGATTTTTGTACGGAAAGTAGCAAGCTCAAACCGACGGCCACGCTGCAGGAAATTTTCGATGCTTTCAAGAACCCCATCCAGGGAGTGGGTTTCCTCGGTTCAGCACCCAGTATGCCATCGTGCACATTTGTGTCGTACGACGCACTCACCTGGTTGCAAAGTCACATCGAGGGTCCGTGCAATCCCATTGAAATCCTCGAAGATATGCAAAGGTAATGTTGTTTGTGATATTGAAATTGTATTAAATGATGTACTTACCTTTCGTCTTCTAGAGCTCGCATGATCTGCCATGCCTCGGGGGAATACTCGAAACCTGTCGTTCCCGGGTTTAACCTGTACTACATTATGCAGCAAGACAAGGAATCTCGTGAATACCTGCCACCTCTCGGTGATTTGGAAGCGTTTGAAAACGAATGGATGGAAGTGGAAATACATCACCCGGATTTGCAGAAACCAATTGACCCAGTAGATATTGGCGTGCCGGCATTTCTACGCGAGGCAATAGATTTTAACGAAGAATTTGTCGATCGTCCTCTCTACAAGCAAACTCATCTTGATATTGACGTTAACAATAAATCCGACCGGATAGAATGGGGTCATGCGCGATATCATCAGAAAATGATTCCAGGGCATGCGTTCGAAGTCGTAGTCCAGTGGATCACAGCTTCCGGACCGATTGTAAGCGATTTGATCAGTGGGTGGTCTCGAAGAGCGCAAGGATGTGGTTTCCAACTAGTCTCGATTCCTGCCGATCCCCTTGCAGAACCCTTCACGGAGAAAAGTGACCCATTGAGGGGTCCCATTTTTATTCCTTTAGATATCGAATGCTTAAATCAGCATAGGAATTTCCTGTTCGAAGAATTCAAGAAAGATACATGGCCAAAACGATTGCTGCTGTTCCAGGAAGCTATTGTAGCCAGATTCGGTTTCATGAGGTGTGCTGTTGAAACGAAAACCGGATCCAATCAAGTCTCCCTAGATTATCAGTACGTCCACTGCACTGGAAATATGTTTATTCTGGTTCCAAACTCGAACCAAGGACTGAAATCACGCCAAAGACTGGCTTCCGGAGGAAGCACGATGAAAAAACCAACGAACTTCATCAATCGCTACTCAGCTTCCTACGAGTCGCAGATGCAGAACAATATCTCGTCTGCTGCACACGAAGCGTACATCACTCGCCATGTGACCGGAAGTAAAACCAAAGATGACTGTGATGCGATCCGGAAGACGGGTTTTCTCTGGTCCTGGAACCACATGATACCGAACAAGAAGTGGAAATCGCTGGCGATTGCCCAATCGGAGGAGCTCTTTCAGCTGCGCATGCTACGAGACTTTAAAGACTTCTGCTCGAATAGGGAACAAAGACTGGTTACCTTTTGGGATGAATGCTGGGAGGCGAAGGTGAAATCGTCGATGGCGCGAACCTAAGCCGAGCGGAGATTGGAAGCGTATGCGGTGATATTTGTAAGTAAAATTGTTTTGTTTGTTTTCTGTCGAATTTTATTTACCTGAATCGAGGAAAATCTGTACAAATTACCGTTAAAAGCGACCTCTTCGCGTTGTTCTGTTCGTTATTTGATTTCATATTCTTATACAAAAATATATAAAGCTTAGTCGTATCGTCGTCTACAGCTACTAAATTCGGAAAAAAAATGTTTCTAGTTATTGAAAGAAACTTCCTTGATCTAATTTAAAGCGTCACACATTTATTATACAAAATGTTTTCATAAAATTTATTTAAGCTTAGAACTGCAGTCGCAGTTTAAGATAGTCGATCAGTAGATTTCACACGCTCAAAACAGATGCGTGTGTGTTGAAATATTTTTATTGTGATCGAACACATCCTTCGAATAGTTTTGAACTTTGGTATCACAAAGGTGTAAAATGTAGTTTTTTTGATCACAAAATTCGTTGCTGTTTGTGTTGATACTGTATTCAATGCTTTCGTTGTATGTTTATCGTTATTTTTCGGCACCTTTCCATACATCATCTACGCAAGCTTTGTTGAAGTTGTTTTTATCAACTCTTATGAGGCCAGCATGGTGGCTCTTGTTTCATAGAGTCACGATCATAAAACTAGTAAGCACGTTATCGAACATAACAACAGAGCAGTAGGTAGGAGTTTATTTTCTGAGTTTAAATTTTAGCACATCGAGCATCATAGAAAATAAAAACGACAATGGATCAATGAAAATGGTAAGGTTTTGACAACTTTTGGTGCTACTGTATATGGACGATCGAATGTAAAATACTGTGGTAACCACAGCATATAGTTCTGTCAAAATCGCAGCATTTTCATTGATCCGTTGTGAGAAGTCAAACCGTAGAACATTGATAGGGTAATTGATCAAGGGATCATTGTGTCATTGTGAACGTCTGTATACCCGAGCAAAGCTGGAGATCAAATTGAAATCAAAATTTGCTGTTATGATGTAACTTATTTTGAATACTCCAGTTGATCTCATTTTGGTTGACTTAACGGTTAACACAGCAAAAATGAGAGCAAACTTTTACACTGTTGAATCAAATGGAAAACTAATCTTGCTTTCAATAAAATCAATTTGATTACTGATTTTGCATTCATAATGTTTAACTGAATACGGGCATGGCGTAAATGGTTAGTGTCCATGCTTCCCACACTGACAGAGTTGAGCTCAAATTTCACCCCGGGCAAGTCATGAATGACCTAAAATGTGTTAAACAAAACAAATAAACAATAATCATTAGACAAAAACGACAGATGAACTTAGATTAAATTTTAAACAAGACGTTAACAGCAAAATTTTAAGTTAAGTTGCTTTCATTTAAAAAGTTTTGACTGCATAATGAAAGCAAATTATGATATCAGACTTATGTCGTGACAATTTAAATCAAAATGAGTTTTCATTATGATAGGAACTGCAAACTTTAATATCGATTTGCTTTCATTTTGTTAACCGACTTTGCTCGGGTATCTAACCTATCCAAAGTGCTCCAGAATGGGAATTTAACAGGAAAGATGCATTTAGAGACTGAAATTGAAACTTTAGAAAAAAATGTCTTCTACAAAGTTGTTCCTTACGGTTAAGTCTTCATTTTGGTGCCAATTATAATACTAGGGTGGTTCTTATTAACAGTGAAATAAAAAAAATAGCTTTTTTTATTTTCAAAAATAAATGAATACAATCTCCGGCAAAGTTGTAGCTCAGCTAATGTCAAGCAACTTTGTTAAAATCTATTTTTTGTATCTCTTGAATGGACCGATTTAGAGCTATGTTCCTCTATTGTTAGGGTGTGTCTTAAAAAACAGTTTTTGTGCACTATTTTTTAATTTAAAATTTATCAGCAAACATGTCTTCAAATAACTTTTAGAACTTTTGAAGGTGTAATTTTTGATATGCAGAACTTGTCAATATATTATGCCGATCAAGAGTCATTGACGTTTTTCTTATGAAAATATTCCCTTTTCAAATGTTAATATCTCTGGTTGGGGCAAGCATAAAACATATCTTTAGACGACATTTGACATAGATATGTTATTTTTTTAACTTCTTTAAAGTCAATTCGATTTTTTATATTTCAATGATAATAAGAGCCACCCTAGTATTAATTGACACCAAAACTGTAAGAAACAACTTTGTAGCAGACACTTTTGACTCCAATGTATCAATTTCATGCTCTAAATGCATCTTTTCCAAAAGGTAATCAACTCTGCACATTGTGCCGAAACAGCATGGCACACTGTTCGGCACGTTAGGGCATACTAGTAGCATACAAAACATATAATATAACATGGCATCACTGTCGAGCGTTGACGTTTTGCTAATCGTTGCTAAGAATGAATCCAATGTACAGGTAGGTATGTAAGTACTTGGAGTTCAAAAACAAACCGGTAGACAGCGAACGCCAGTTTATGTGTGCCGGCTGCAGAAGAAATATTGAAGAAGTCTGTTTTCAACGGTAGTCGAGCAGACTTCCGGAAAGAGTGACTGATACTTTCTTCCCTTGAAAATAATGCTTTTCAATGCAGTTAATTTCTTACAAGTGGAGATGTTCCAGACACAGCTGCGCAAAACGTACAACAAAGCCATTAGAGAAATGGGAACGACCGGAAACATATCCTGCATCGTGCGATGGTCAAATTTACATTTGGAACGAAGGATAGGGCAGGATATTCTATAAGAGTCGAGCTACATTAACAAGTTCATTATGTAGAATAACTCTAGATAGAGCTGAAATTAGGGCGTAACAGCTTTTGTAAACAATGGCTTCTTTCGATGATTTCTCGAAAGACATAACTTTCCTTGGCAAATCAACATTACCATCGAATAGGCGAAGACTTCTCCTACCCGATGGATATATTGATTTGTGTAGGTGTGCCTTGGGTTGCTAAAAATCAACGAGAGAAGTCATTGTTTACAAAAGCTGTTACGCCCTAATTCCAGCTCTATCTAGAACTGATAAATGTACATCGGCCTTAAGTCCTTCAACCTAACGCACTTCGGCTTAATGACCCAACACCGAATAATCAATAAAGATAAAACGATTATCACAGGGGTTTTCGGCCAGGTTCGAATATCGGTTTTACTGCGGATTTAACGATAGAGAATTTTTCTCGTTTTACGCTGAGTATTTCTTCAGATATTATTGCTTGTCATTCAGGCCTATTCTGCGAATCGTGTGACTCTCTGTCACTCGTGAGGTTACAAAAGTCACGTCGTGTGACGTGACTCTCCCAGGCCTATTCTACGAGTTGTGTCAAATTCTTCATCGCAAGTGGCCACGGTACGATGGGTGGCCCTCCGGCCAATCAACTGTAAAGCCTTGCTGAATTTAGAAAATTTGGCTCGCTGCAGAGTGAGTTTGGTGCGCTGGTTCTCGCTTGACGACCCTAAGCAATTTGCTGTTTAGCAAAAGCCTCGCAAGGTCCTATGGGCGTGCTTATGAGCCAACTATACTGTTTAACTCAGATTTCCAGATTCCAATTCGGCTCATCCAGAGATTACGAGGTATCTTCTTGCATGGATGGCTCTGATTCCGCACTAGGAACTCGACGTCCGTTTGAGTTCGTTGTTTGCTTTAGTTGTAGAGGATTTCGAATGATGCCGGAGGTATTTTTATTCTTCAGCGATCAGGTTACGACTTCGTTTCTGTACACCTGAAAGGCATCAGTAATTCAAATAGACATTGAGTCAAAATCTTGTGGATCGGTCGAGTTTGTTTGAACACCGTATGGGTTTCATAACTTCCGGTTTCTCTTTCAACTCCCGCTCCAAAAATGAAAATTTAAACACAATCGCAAATGTCAATATAGCTTCAGGGTTGCCAAACTCGTGAGATATTAACACCTTGATTGGCACACTCAATTCGGATTCTTCTTCTTTTTAAAATGTTCTTCAATCATCATCATTAGTATACACATACATTCACAGCACTAGCCATCCGAAAATTTAAAGCAAGTATTCCCTGATTTTACATCGAAAATTTCCTGGGTAAAACACTTGTTTGCATTTACTTACTTGTGTTCTTCGTAGCATTTGACAATTTCACGTAATTCGAATACACAAAATTAATAAATACCTACTACTTTTCAACTTTCTTGGTGAACAAAATGAAGCACCGGGAAAATCACTTCGACTCCATTTCTTTGCTAACGAACGTAACATAATCATTGAACAAGCGTTGCCAGATGTAATGCCTCTAGTAACCAATATAAGTTTACTAAAGCAAGCAAATGCGAAGTTTGACCCGAGGGGGACGACTCTATCTACGATGCAGGAAAGATTGTGGTTTGCTGTGGCTAGCTGTGCGTACGCTGAGTAGATAGAAAGAGGATTGATGACGATGAAGCTTTCATGCAAAAAGATGATGCGTGATGTAAATAGATGCGAGAAATGAAAGCAGATTTTTAGAAGATTGATTCTCTAGTGTGAGATTTTTCGAGCATCTAGAATTGAGATTTTGATGTGTCGCCCCCTAGGTTTGACCCATTATTAAAGATGAGTGTATGTAAATATCAAAAACTGGGTTTACACAACTTAAAGGACCATTCTTGGAAGGTAAAACACGCTTGATTTAAACACAAACAGGGGAGATGGCAGCAGTGCACGTAGCCTGCCGTTTGACTTCTCGTCGCCGATCTCACTAATTCAACGTTGCTAGTGTAGCCGTGTAAAATCGATTTGCTTTTTATTTTCAACCACGAAATCAGCTGTCAAAGTGTGCGGACGAGTTCAGAAGTTTCAATACCACTATATTTTTCATTGATCTTTAAAATTAAAAAAAAAAAAAAAATTTCACTAAATTTGGTTGCAATTTAAGATCACACGATTGAAAATACGCCCGAAAATAAATCGCGTAAAAACAGAATTGAGTGTATTCAAATTCGCAAAAACGCAGTATACTCGTAAACTGAGTAAAACTTTCCTCGATATTCCTTATCTTTGAGCCTATTTTACTCACTAACTGAGTAAACCCACTTTTTGCAATTTTGAGTCTAATTCGACGCAATTTTGAGCTACTCTCATCGGCCGTGTAAACTAGACGCATCAAATTCATACGATCTGTAATCACGAAGTCCATGGATCGAATCCTGGCAGCATCTTTTTTTCGATCAGTAAAATTATCATACGACTGCCATATGACTATTATAATCGTAAAATACCTAGATACTAAAATCAATAAAATAATCGTATAAAATACTATCGATTAGTTCGCTCAGCGTTGTGCTGCTGATTGGCATTACAGTCGTTTGGCATAATGGTCATTTATCATAATAGTTATTTAGCAAAATGAAGTGTAGCATGGTTATTTTAGTACAGTCAACACTCGACATTCTGTAACTCGATGGATGAGGTTTAAATAATTCAAGCAATAGTGGAAAAATTGCCAAAACCTAACAAGAACCGCATATCAGCAGAGATGCTCAAAGCTGACCCCATGCTATCCGCACAAATGTTGCATCAACTATTCTGTAATATCTGGGACACCGCGACTTTTCCGGCCGACTGGATTCAGGGCATCTTAGTGAAGGTCCCAAAGAAGGGGGATCTGACTGTGTGCGACAAAAGGCGAGGCATATCATGTTACTGTGTATTGTTCTCAAAGTTCTGTGCAAAGTTATCCTGAATCGGATACAGGAGAAGATCGACGCGACTCTCCGATGGCAGCAGGCAGGATTCCGTCCGGAAGATCTTGTGTGGACCATATTGTCACGCTCCGCATCATCCTGGAGCAGGTCAATAAATTCCAAGAGTCCCTTTATTTGGTATTCATTGACTACGAAAAAGCTTTCGACCGTCTCAATCACGAGAATCTGTGGGGCGCCCTGAGACGCAAGGGAGTCCCGGATAAAATCGTCAACCTCATCGAAGCGCAGTATGAGG